TTCTGTCTTCTTAATTCCTCTTCATTTATTGTCCTTTCCCCTCACTAAAGTCTTCTAATTCTCTTTCACTCTTCTTACTTTCCAGTCAACTTTGATCTTCAAAAATTTCAATGCAATTTCAATCGTTATCTTCTGTCTTCTTAATTCCTCTTCTTTTATTGTCCTTCCCCTCACTAAAGTCTTCTAATTCTCTTTCACTCTTACTTTCCAGTCAACTTTGATCTTCCAAAATTTCAATGTAATGTCAATCGTTATCTTCTGTCTTCTTAATTCCTCTTCTTTTATTGTCCTTCCCCTCACTAAAGTCTTCTAATTCTCTTTCACTCTTACTTTCGAGTCAACTTTGATCTTCAAAAATTTCAATGCAATATCAATCGTTATCTTCTGTCTTCTTAATTCCTCTTCTTTTATTGTCCTTTCCCCTCACTAAAGTCTTCTAATTCTCTTTCACTCTTCTTATTTTCCAGTCAACTTTGATCTTCAAAAATTTTAATGCAATGTCAATCGTTATCTTCTGTCTTCTTAATTCCTCTTCTTTTATTGTCCTTTCCCCTCACTAAAGTCTTCTAATTCTCTTTCATTCTTCTTACTTTCCAGTCAACTTTGATCTTCAAAAATTTCAATGCAATGTCAATCGTTATCTTCTGTCTTCTTAATTCCTCTTCTTTTATTGTCCTTTCCCCTCACTAAAGTCTTCTAATTCTCTTTCACTCTTCTTACTTTCCAGTCAACTTTGATCTTCAAAATTTCAATGCAATGTCAATCGTTATCTTCTGTCTTCTTAATTCCTCTTCTTTTTATTGTCCTTTCCCCTCACTAAAGTCTTCTAATTCTCTTTCACTCTTCTTACTTTCCAGTCAACTTTGATCTTCAAAAATTTCAATGCAATGTCAATCGTTACCTTCTGTCTTCTTAATTCCTCTTCTTTTATTGTCCTTTCCCCTCACTAAAGTCTTCTAATTCTCTTTCATTCGTCTTACTTTCCAGTCAACTTTGATCTTCAAAAATTTCAATGCAATGTCAATCGTTATCTTCTGTCTTCTTAATTCCTCTTCTTTTATTGTCCTTTCCCCTCACTAAAGTCTTCTAATTCTCTTTCACTCTTCTTACTTTCCAGTCAACTTTGATCTTCAAAAATTTCAATGCAATGTCAATCGTTATCTTCTGTCTTCTTATTTTCTCTTCTTTTATTCTCTCCCCTGAATACTGTATATTCCTTGTATTCTCTAACACACAGCAATCCCTTGCGTCTTAGTGGCTTTATCTGGTTGAAAGGATTAAAAATGACTATCCTCTGGATTTATTTAAAATCCATTGCCGTTTACTGATGTTGATGCAAATGTAAATGCAACCCGTACACATTGGACTTGTGCTAAAAAGCCTTATTCGATGAAAACAACATTAAAATTTTTTTCATATTTTTGTGATGATCATAATCTGTTACATAGTTCAGTCAAGTCGTTATCTATGTTTATGTGTATGCATACCCGTGACAATGTGATAACAACGTTCGCTTTCCGACCACGGAAATCTGGTTCGAATCTCACCATGTTCAATTTGAAAGAAAAGTGATTTATTGATCTCATCGGTCTTAGTGGGGAAAGCGGTCCCAGCATGCAACACATTTGAAAAAGTCTGAGGATCATACCACTTGTTAACTTAAATCTAATGAGTGAAATTGGGTAGACGGAATTCCTTGGAGGCCGTCAATCGTTGTGCTAGCACGAAGGCACAAGTCATCGTGGCCGAGGTTTTGAGCGTACTTTTAAACTGTAGATCACGCTAGTTTATGCACTAATCGTAGTATGAATCACAGGTTGGTGCCATGGGTGTGACTGGGTAGGTATTGGCGTTGATTTTTATTTTTTTTAATGTTTATTATCGCGGAAGTAACTATGTATTAAGTACCCGGATGCATCCAATGACAATGGTGCGAAGAGACACGTGACGGAAGCTTGCTTGGCGCTTATGAAAAGACAGAGTTACGGGTGGGGATTTCCGGTGACCGGATATCCGTCATGGAAGGGACGTAATTCTCGTGACACCTAATGGATTCCACACTTTTATATTTGAAAGCAGTTAACCATTTTCACACGATTGAAAATCAGTTTTGGATAGAACCTCAATTACACGTACCTCTGATTGTGTTCTCTAAGAGTTCGGACAAAATGCCAGTCAACCCTATCAACACGGATCATAAACAATTAAACCTTTTGCTAATAATAGCGAGAGAGAGACATATATATATATATATATATATATATATTGAAATATATAAATAAAAAAAATTAAAAATATATATATAAATATATATATAATATATATATATATATATATATATATATATATATATATATATATATATATATATATATATATATATATATATATATATATATATATATATATATATATATATATATATATATATATATATATATATGAATGAAAAAAGGAACGATGGAGTAATGGAATAGCGGCTTGGATTGAGGAATCAGAG